AAATTACTACTGGTAATTTTGTTAGATTCTTTATACATGTCATTTTCATGAGATAAATAAGATTATTCTTTTTCTACCAACAAGAAAGTGTTCAGTAAGTAGCAGAGCAAGTATGTGAATCCAGTTTGTCAGGCTCCAGTGTTTTTGTTTCCATTATGTGAGTATTTATGTGATACTAAACATGGGTCCTGGAGCATTTAAACCCAGTCATAGGAACTGACAGGGAAAAGCACATGGTCAAAAGTGCATCACCAGCTGCATGTCTCTCCAGTTCTTAGAAAACAGTGTCCTGACAGAACAACACAACAGCCACTCTGCTCTATGCCAGATTCTGGGCTTAGGACTCATATTCTCCATCCGTAGACAGAAGTGCTCCATCAGCATACTAAGGAGCAAATTTAAGTGTTTCTAGTTGAATGTTTCTTAACCTTTTTAGCACTGTCCATCCCCCTCCCTAGACCCTCTTTAGACATGTTCTTCCTGATCACTCCCTAGTCTAATTAAGTTTCAATACCATAGGTAGACTCTATATTTGTTGATGTACTGTTGTGGGTCTTTGGAGGGCCAAAAGCCATCGTAATATCTAAGGTGAGGTGGTTTTTTTTTGCCTTGCCAGAAACTTTTTAGCCCCTTGTGGGGGTGGGGGGCTACATCACACCCACTAAGAATGCTTTGTCTAGTTGCAGATGACCAGAGCTCAGGGAGGCTAACAGGGAGCAGAGATGCCCAGGTGAGGCCAGGACCTTGGAGAGCACCAAAGTGGCCCTGCTGAGACCAGCCAAGGCTCCATATTACCTGAACATATGTCTGAAAGAAGGGCAAGGCATGAAGAGGACAGGAGCTAGGAAACTAATATCAGTATTATTTTACTAAACATTATAGGAAACATCAGAATATGAAGCCCTCAAAATTCTGTTTCATAAAAATTTCTTATAGTGGCTGACACTTTGTGTGTGTGGACTTCAATTCTCAAGGTCAAAGGTAGTTAAATGGCACATCTTCAAGTGGTTTAATGATTTCAAGATTGTTACTAAGAGCCCACCTCCATAGGAGTTGGACATTAATTCTCTCTTCCTGCCCCTCCAATGCTGGTTAGGTTCATGATGCTGTAGTTTAGTGCCTGCTGTGAGCTGAAGATAATAGACATTGCTTAACTATGTGCCAGACAGATCCAGCACTAAGCTTATTAGTGGGCCATTTTAGTTTACCTTCACAGCAGTCTTATCAGGTGGATATGATCATTCTCTGAGGCTAAGAGAGGTTAGCAGTTGCTCAGAATCACATAGCTGATAACTGGAAATGCCAGGCCTTGAACCCAAGCAGCCTGACTTCAGAGCCTTAGTGTTTAAGCCCCATGCTACGCTGCCACTAGATCAATTCAGTGGTTCTGGTGAGGTTATTGTGTAGCTTTTTAAAACCCCCGGTAATATACTTAGCACAGATTATCATCCTCCCCATTCAGCTTTCCCTGAGATACCACCCCGGCCCAAGGTTAGACTTTCATCTTCTCCCCAGGAGAATGCACAACGTATTATGCCACTCTGCTGCTTGTAGCCCTCAGTGGCTCCCCTTGCAGTCTTCAGGATAAAATTCAAATTCCTTATCACAGCTTTCAAGGCCCTTCATGATATGTACCTGCTTGTATGACCAGTTTTGTCATCTTTTACCACTTTGCTTCTCAAACTCTCTGTTCCATTTGCATTGATTGATGCCCTTTCACTAGACTGTGCCCTCTTTCCCCTCTGGGTGTTGACATGTGCTGTCCCCTCTTCCCAGAAACGTCTGTTCTCTTCACTTCCCTTTCAAGGGGCTAAATACTCCTCATCACTCTGTTTTCGGCTCAAATGTCACTTCTTCTGCATGTCCTCATGGATCCCCCAAATATGGATAAACAGAAGTAAGACGTGTCACAGTCCTCTGTGCTGGTCAGATTGCCCATAGCACTTTTTGTCCAGTACTGAACAACATATAGATCAGGTCTAGAGATGGGTAACCAGTATGGTGAGCATTCTGAAATGGATTTTATTATCATACACAATAGATACTGAGTAAATAACTTCATGGGTATTATATCACATAATCCTTTTGGGTTGGTTAGGTATAAATGAGGAAACTGAAACTCAAAGAAATTAAGCAAATTGTTCAAGTTCCTTCAAATGGTAAATGGTAGAACATGGTTTTTGAGCCCAAATCTGTGTAAATTCAGAGCCCATGCCTTCAATCTCTGCATAATATTACCTCTGGAAACCATATGATAATGATTAGTTAAGTGATGAAATATAAGTTATGGGGCGGTGCCTGTGGCTCAGGGAGTAGGGCGCTGGCCCCATATACCTGAGGTGGCGGGTTCAAACCCAGCCCTGGCCAAAAACTGCAAAAAAAAAAAAAAGAAATATAAGTTAAGTAGTCTGGAGAACACATGACCAAGAATAAACTACCTTCAGTCACACAGTCAAAAAGTCAACTTCAGAGAATCGTAGGGAAGTAGATGGCTCAATAGAAGAAAGAATGTTCTGAAAAGGAAAAGGTGAGCCCTGAGGGGACAGGCTCATATAATTGGCTATCTATGTGTCCCCTGGTCAGATGTCTGCCACAGAGGAGGGGGATCCACAAACAGAAGGAAATAGAGCTGCCCAACAGTAGAATGAGTTGCCCCATTGAACAGTGCCACTCCCCAGAATGGGGCTGGTCGGCCACCTGACAGAGCCCTGTGGGAGGGATCATAGAGAAGGCATTCTGCATTTTCTGCATCCTTGAACTGGATGACTTCTAAAGCCCCTACCACTCAAGGATTCTGCAATCAGTGGACTGAGTCTATGATTCAAACTTTAGCAAGTCACAGACCATCTGGCATTCCACAATGCACTGAGTTCTCAGAAAATAGAGAATGTGAGTGGATGAGACTCTAGGCTTCCAGAACCCAAGCTTTTACCCCTTCAGCCCCATGCTGAGAAGTCAGAAATGGTTCACTCTAACTCTTGGGAGCTAGCAGCCTCCCAATCCTTTTCCAAAGGCTAATCTGGCAATAGAGACATTTAAGTCATTTGTAGAGAAAGGATATGCCTGTGGGTTTCAGCTGCTGTCACAGGATCTGAAAGAGATCTTGCTAGCAGATGGTTAAGACAAAAAAAAAAAAAAAGTCAACAAATGAATTTCTGACAGTCATTTCCTGAAAAGAATCAAATGGACCCCACAAAACGTACATTGGGTCGGCTGTTGTTCCTCGCACACACTGTCTCCTTTCATTCCGTGCTGAGTGACCAATAGTAAACACTCAGAACTGTTCCCTCTATCCAGTACAGAGTTAGTTCCTTGGCCAGTAGCAAGTACTATCTGCTCAGCTTTCCTAGAGGGCTCACACACATGGGAGTGGCTCAACAGATGACAAAACTTTCCATCAATGCTTATGTTATCACACATCCTGCTTCCACTTTCAAAAGACTTGTGCACCCTAAAAAGAATAGCCCATTCTGGAGGATATGAGGCCATCTAGTAACAAAGCCATCTTAGTTTTATGGCCCAACATATATATAGCTTTAATCCACACACACATACACATACAACTACATTAAACTAGGCAAACCTCACTTGTGCAACTTTTGAAAGAAGTAATAAATTACATAGGAAGTTTTTACCCTCGTCTATAGTCAGCATCTATTTACTTCCAACTTTGTTAGTGTCTAAAGCTCTTTGACTCTATCATCCCATAGTATTCTCTTCTATCTTTTCACTTGCTTCGCTCTTTTTAGAGACCAAAACTTCCCAGTTTCTATTGATAGCCAGAGCTTCAGATAAGCTTCCCTCAGCAGCCTGTGGCATGGTGTTCTCTCACTTGATGCCATTTCACCACACCATCTGCATCTCTAACCCTCATATCAGGGATCTGAACTCTAAGGCTTCCTGAATGCTTTCCTTCCTGCCTCTAAAAATACAGATCAGATATAATACAATGACGATGTGACATCCACCAAACTATTTCTTCAAACAGAAAGGAGTGGTCTTCTACTCCTTATAGAAGGGTTAAAACTTCCACCTGCCAATAGAAAACAAGGGTTGCTGAGTCTGTGGCAGTAACTTGAACTTAAAAACTAGATTCTTGGCTCTGTGCCTATAGCTTAGCAGCTAGGGTGCCAGCCACATACACTGGAGCTGGCAGGTTTGAACCCAGCCTGGGCCTGCCAAACAACACTGACAACTATGACAACAACAACAAAACAGCCTGGCGTTGTGGCAGGTGCCTGTAGTCCCAGTTACTTGGGAGGGTGAGGGAAGAGAACTGCTTAAGCCCAAGAGTTTGAGGTTGCTGTGAGCTGTGACACCATAGCACTCTACCCAGGGCAACATAGTAAGACTATCTCAAAAAACAAACAAAAAACAAACAACAACAACAAAAAAAAACTAGGTTCTTCTTATATTTCTTTTCTTTCTTTTTTTTCTTTTTTAGGAGAGAGTCTCACTCTATTGCTCAGGCTAGAGTGCCATGGCCTTAGCCTAGCTCCCAGCAACCTAAAACTCCTGGGCTCAAGCAATCCCCCTGCCTCAGCCTCCCGAGTAGCTAGGACTATAGGTACACACCACCAAACCCAGCTAATTTTTCTATTTTTAGTATTTTTAGTAGAGACAGGGTCTTGCTTTGCTCAAGGTGGTGTTCAATTCCTGACTGCAAGCATTTCTCCTGCTTCAGCCTTCCAGAGTGCTAGGATTACAGGCAGGAGCCACCATGCCTGGCCTTCCCCTTATAATTCCTGACAAAACAACTTTTATTAACTGCTTTCTAACAATCTGCCTTCCTCCACCAACAAGTTCTTTTTAAACAAAATACCTTAGGCTGAAAAGGTAATAAATAGGATGTGAATATGGATATACAGAGTTCCCAGAACATAGCCTGCTTACACGGATGCATGCTGGCCCACAGATGCAGCTGCAGAAATGTGTATACAGATATTGCGCACATGGATGCTTGTCTCAGACAGATGTACACAAAGACAGAGGCCACTCACATAGACAGATGTCCACCAGGAACACGACATATACCAAAAGCTCCCGCAGGGTGATCTTGACATAAAGCTCCCGGTTCTCAGCCGTGTTCTCAGTCAGCGTTGTTCCCCAAAGTCCTAAGGGGCATTGGAGAGATGCTGAGGCCCCTAAGAGCAGTGTTCCTCCCAGTTAACCCTGCCTTTCTCTCCCTGGTTTCACCCCTACGTCCACCTTATCCCTTCCTTACCTATCCCCTTATCCCATCACTGAATCTGGCTGCCCACTCATATCCATCCTGCCCTACCCTAGGTAGACAGGGTGAAGATACTGGGTCACAGAGGACAAAGGCATGAAAAGGAGGAACTTATTCCAGGTAGGGGTACAGTCTAAGGTATCATGACATCCACGTCCTCCCTGAAATTAGCTCCCACATAACCCACTGGTCCCCCAAGTGATGCCCATGCCCAGGATCCCTCTCTGGTAGACTTCTAGTCTGGCCTCTGTGTTCTGGGGCATGCAGCTCCAACACAGGCAATGCACGAACCCCAAAGAGACACTGAGATGTCACCTCTTCTTCAGATCACATCCCCCTAGATGCTTTTGATGATCCCTTCTCCTGACTCCAATATCCCAGGAGAACCCTCCTCCACTGGGTACCTCTGATGCCATGGCAGATATGGAGGCAGCAGCTGGACACCGGTGTCCCACGTGTCTTCTCGTGGGGTTCATCTTCAGGCTTCTTGGGTTGGGGCTGAGGGGGCACTGCACTGGAGACAGTGTAGATCCTCAGTGCCCTGTGCGGGGAGGGGGGTCCACTGTAGGCAGGGTTGTCCCAGGCTCCAGTCCCCAGATTTTGCAGTTCCTGCCCCTCAGGAGTCTCTACAGCATTCATGGGGAAGGAAGTAAGGGGGCTGGCACCCCAGGTGCCCACACTCAGCTGGAGAAAAAGAGAGCAAAGGCACAGCCCAGCCTTGCTCACAGAGGGAGGGGAAAGGGAGCCTTCCAGCAGCTGCTCCAACACAGCCTCTGCCTCCTGCCTTTGTAGGGGAAACCTGTGCCTGCCAGGGGAGGGAGCAGATGAGGAGGATGGGGGTGGAGAATGACCATCAATCCTGTCAGGGGCTCTCACTGCCTGCTTGCTGCAAGAAGAAAGGGGATGTGAAGGAACTGAGAGTTAGAGGTTCGAAGAGGGCAGAGAAGGGAAAGTAAGGAAGACAGTCGAGACTGGGGGTGCAGGGAGAGTGCTGGGGATGAAGGTGCTGGTGGAGGGATGGGCAGAGAGCAGACAGATGAGATGATGAAAGAGCAGTGGGAGGAGCTGAAAAAAGAGGGGACTGCTGGGCCTGATTGTGGGTCTGAGTCAATTTCCACTAAAAGCTCCTGAAAGGGCCGACATGGATTGGGTTGGGCCCAGGGCCAGGCTAAGAGACTGAACCAGGCCAGTCCCTACCAGACTCAGGGAATATGCCTGAGGCTCCTTTAATGTGTCACCTTGAGCTGTCCCCAGTGGAGTGGAAAAGAAAGTTCCCCTCCCTCACTCCACCCTCATGGCTGAGGGGAGAGGAAAGTGGCATGAGGAATCCCCAACTCAGATACTTGAGGGACAGGGTCTCCGACTCTGAGGAAGGGAGAGAACTTTAGAGTTCAAAGTTATTTTATTCTTTTTCCTGAGGCTTGCCCTCCCATGGCTTATAGGTGAGACATACCAAGAGAAGGAAATTCTGCAATGGCGTGGAGCTCGCTTTAGGAAAAAGGCTAAGTCGTTACTGGGAGGCTGGATCAGGAAGCAAAGGGCAATATTACTGAGATTCCTTAAGGGAGTAGATATCTGGACCCAGATGAGCTGGCAACCTCTTCCCATGGCTCTGCTTAGTACCAGGCCTAGAATTGTAAACTGGAACACAAAAAGAAAATATTCATGTTAATAGGATTGATCTGCTTTCTTTCCAACTTCAGGTCTCTGAATAAAACTTTGGCATGGGCCCTCAAGTACATTGCTGCCCTCTCCCTGGTTCACTGATAGGCATGTGCTGTGCCCAAGAAGGGGGCTGGTCCTCCAAGTGCTGGTGGTCACCTTGAAGCTTCTCTTCCCTGAAGGCTGAAGAGGGGGCTTCCCTCTCCCAACTCCTGGCTCTCCACCTAGGGTTACTCTTTTGCTGCTGTGGCCTCAAGCCCATCTTCATGTACAGTAAAACAGCCTGGTGGAAGTCGCTAGTCTCTAGTATCCCAATAAAGAAGTCTTGGTCCCAGACAATCCAGGGATAGACTTATCTCCTTGATAAATAAATGTACTCTGACTTCTAAAACAGAGTTGAATAAGTAGCCCCTGATTCTACTTCATGAAACTCCTGCCCCAGGTTCAGACACTATTAAGGGAAATAACTCCCTGCCTGTACTGGAGGTGAGAAGCTGTCAGTGAGCCTTCCTACATGGAAAAGTGCCCATATCTCCATTTTACTAGCCAGTAAGACACAGTCCAATCTGTCCCTGTTTTCTTCGGAAAGAAAAAGAGTGAGACACATCTATGATCAACTGATTTTTGACAAAGGTACCACTGGGAAAGCACAGTCTCTTCAATAAATGGTGTTGAGAACATTAGACATCCACACAGAAAAATGACAATGGACCCTGACAGTCTCTTCAATAAATGGTGTTGAGAACATTAGATATCCACACACAGAAAAATGACAATGGACCCTTATCTCACTCATTATACATGAATAAATAAGACCTTGAACTATAATACTACTAGAAGAAAACTTGGGGGAAAAACCCCATGACATTAGTCTGGGCAATGATTTCTTAGATATGACCCCAAAGATAACAGGCAACAAAAGCAGAAGTAGACAAACGGGATTGCATCAAAACTAAAAATCTTCTGCACAACAAAGGAAACAACTAATCAAATGAAGAGATAACCCACAAACTGGGAGAAAATATTTGTAAATCATACATCGGATAAGGGGTTAATATCCAAAATATATGAGGAACTCAAATTACTCAATAATAAAAAAGCAAATAACCCTATTTTAAAAATGGGCTTAGGACTTAGACACTACTTGAAAGAAGAGATACAAATGACCAAGAAATATATTTTAAAAAATGCTCAACATAAGAAAAATGCAAGTTAAAATCACAATGAAATATTACCTCTGACTTTTTGGATTGGCTATTATTAAAAATCTGAAAGATAACAAGTCTTGTGAGGCTATTAAGAAAAGGGAACTCTGGGCTTGGCGCTTGTGGCTCAAGTGGCTAAGACGCCAGCCACATACACCTAAGGTGGTGAGTTCGAATCCAGCCCGGGCCCACCAAGCAACAATTATGGCTGCAACCAAAAAATAGCCGGGCGTTGTGGCAGGCGCCTGTGGTCCCAGCTACTTGGGAGGCGGAGGCAGGAGACTTGCTTGAG